TATTTGGAGGGACATCTAGTGACATCTCTTCAGCCAAGTCATCTGCAGAGTGGAGCTGATGTCACAATGTGGGGCACAGCAAATCTGCAAATCTTCCTCTCACTGTCTCGAATACAGGTATCATTTACCTCAAGGGGTTTCCTTCACTTTGCAGGTCACAGGCTTTAGCTAGGACTCCCAGTAGGGCAGCTGTGGCCCAAGAGAGAAGCCAGGAATTTTAGGAGAATCAGGAAGGTGGTAGGAAAAGGCACCATGTTGAGTTGGCCACGAGGCATGGATGTGGATCATACCAGGACAGCAGCATCACTGAGGTCCAACTCTTCTGCTCACAGCTCAGGAGGGACCAAAGGCATGAGCCACCTTTCAGAAGGAAGGAAGATAAGAGTACACTGTGGAAGAGAGAAACCATCTGGTTCCCTGATGCCCAGAGGTTAGAACTAGTCTTCCATGCCCAGMAACATTTAAGGTTTAAGGAGGACTGGTAGACTGCAGGCTATCTGCCCTGCCTTGGAAAGACAGGGACTTAAGGGTGACCTGGAACATGGGGTCCCMTACCACCTCCCTGGGCTCCAATTCTGGCCTTGCTACTTGGTGGCCACAAGAACTTGGGAAGCTCTTTGAAATTCAATTTCCTGACCCATAAATGGGGATAATAATAGTCCTTTCTTTGAGCACAGTCAGGAGGAGTTCAATGAGCCAACTCTTCTCCATCCAATCTGGCAGCCACTCACCAGTGTGCTAGGACTGCTGAAACAAAGCATCCYAAACTTTAAACAACAGAATATTATCTTCTTTCAGTTCCTGAGTCCAGAAGTCCAACATCAAAATGTCAGCAATGTAAGTTTTTTTTTTCCTAAGGACTGGGAAGAAGAATGTGCTCCATGTGCTCTCCCCTAGCTTCTGAAGGTTTCCCAGCCACCTTTGGCAACCCTCAAATTGAAGAAGCATCATCCTGATCCTTTTTCATCTTCACATGATATTCTCCCTGTGTGGTTCTCTGTGTCCAATTTGTCCCTTTTTATAAGGAGTTCCTGAAGTAGGGGTCCACCCTAGACCACTATGACCTCATCATGACTAATTACATCTACAATGACCCTGTTGCCAAGTAAAGTCACACTCTCAACTACTAGGGATTAGGAGTTTCCCATTTGAATGRGGGGTGGGTGGGCATGATTCAATGCATAACTCCACACGTGGCTTATTGAACACTCAAAAAATGTGACTAGTTGTTGCCAGGCGTACTGACACAAGACTGTAATCCCAGCAGCTCAGAAGGCTGAGGCAGGAGGATTCCAAGTTCAAATCCAGCCCGCAGCAATTTAGCAAGACCCTGTCTCAAAATAGAAAATTAAAGGGGCTGGGAATTGGAGATGTAGCTGAGTGGTAGAGCACCCTGGGTTCAATCCCCTGTACCAAAGGAAAAAAAAAGTGATTAGTTGGAATGAAGTGTACCGTATTAACACATGCCAGATTTCAAAGACTTGGTACAAAACAACAAAAGGATATGTCATCATTAATTAACTATGAAGGAGATAATCTATCTTGTTTGTTAATCATAYTGATCACATTTTGAAATAATAACATTCTGGATATAATATATAATATATATAGTCATTTATAATGACTATTTTATGAGTCTGCTAGAGAACTTAAAAGTCACCTGGGTGGCTCACATCCCCCCCTCCCCCGTGCAGTGTGGGGAATTGAACTCAAAGCCTCATGCCTGCTAAGCAAGAGGTCTACCACTAAACCACATCACCAGCTCCTCACATTATTTTTCTAGTGGACAGCACTGAACTAATATTTACAAGCCCTTCAAGCAGGGCCTGGTAAGTAGAAAATACCTGTAAGTGCTAGTTAAATAAAGACTTCTCTTTGCTGGTGACTCGTTCCCTGTGGCATTTTAAAATAYGGCTTTACCTATTCCTTAGGGACTGAGAAAGGTTGGGGCAAATTTCTTTTCTCGTCCAGACCTTTCTGCATTGAATGAGTTGTTTTACATTCCAGAAGCATATAGCAAATATTCTGTGGTCCTATCTTTTTCAAATTGTTCTGTGGTATTTTTCTCACACCATTATAAAGGATTCATCAACCATGTTAAGCACCATAGTTTCTTTAAAAATTATTTCAGATTTTCCTGTTAACAATATACAGATTACTTTATGCTTAAAATATTTTTCTGTCAGGATTATCATTGGGCAAAGTGGTAAAATATTTAAGCATCCTGATGTGTATGGTCATGTAGTTTTCTAGAGAAGCAATCAGTTTCTACTCCTGCCAGCAGTACGTAACTATCTCCATCTCACCAACTTCTACCTAACTTTATTATCATTTTTAAAAAGATTGTGTTTGTTTGTTTGGGGTTTGTTATTGTTTGTTTTCTCATTTGTTAAAAGAAAGAAACATCTCATTGCTCAATGTGTTAGTCAACTTTCTGTCCGTGTGACAACATACCTGACAGAATCAACGTAAAGGAGAAAATATTTACTTTGGCTCATAGTTTTAGATGTTCCAGTCCATGAAAAGCTGGCTTCATTGCTGTTAGGCCTATAATGAGGAAGAACATCATGGTCTAGAAGGTGTGGAAGAATTAAGCTGCTCCCCTGATAGTGGGGAAGCAGAGAGAGAAAGAGGAAGAGATCAGGGATAAAATATACTCTTCAAGGGYAAGGCCTCCAGTGACCTATTTCCTCCAACTAGCCTTCACCTCCTGAAGGTTAATCACTTCCCAATAGCACCACCAACTGGGGACCAGACTTTTAACACAGGAGCCCTTGGGAAACATTTCAAGATCCAAACTATAACACTTGATTGCACATTTCTTTTCTGGACACCGGGCATTTAGCCATTTAATAAATGTGCCCTGTGTATTTTCTTTTCTGCAAATAGTCCATTTATTTATCTGTGTCTTACTATTTCTCTTGTCTACTTTTGTGAGTTCTTTTTAAAATATGAATTTTCCTACATTTTCATTTCCCCAAATTCATATCAGCAAACACTGACAATATCTTAATTTTTTCTTGTTTAACAGATTTTCATACTTTTATATAGTCAAATAAATTCATTTTCCCTTTATGATTTTCTTTCATTGCTTTTAAATGCAAACCATGCCCTTCCATAAATGTGGTGTCTTTTTTGCTTTCTCTTAGCTTTTTAAAATTACAGCAGAATGCCCTTTGATTCATATTACACAAATGGAGCACAATTTTTCATTTCTTTGATTGTACACAAAGTAGAGTCACACCATTAGTGCAATCATACATGTATCTAGGGTAATGATGTCCCTCTCATTCCATCATCTATATTACAGTTTCTTTATCCATTCATCTATTGAAGATCTTTTAGCATTTTTTTGTGAATTTCTTTCTTTGATTTAAAATGCCCCTAGGGCAAACACTATTCAAATGAAATACAATGCAAGTCGCAAATATGAGCCACACATGTAATTTAAAATATTCTGGAAGCTACAATTTTTTTTTATATTTATTTTTTAGTTTTAGGCAAACACAATATTTTTCTTTTATTTTTATGTGGTGCTGAGGATGGAACCCAGTGCTTAATGTGTGTGAGGCGAGCACTACCACTTGAGCCACAACCCCAGCCCCTTGCAGCTATGACTTTAAAAAGGAAAAAAAAAAAAAAGAAAAAGAAAAAGAAAAAGAAAAAAAAAAACTGCACAGAGCACAGTGGAACTATAGGATTATGCAACAATAGGATACGTGTCATCTTATAGTTGTCACAATCCGTAAAATGAACAATATCCAGAGTGAACACTAATATAAGCCTTGAACTTTGGGTAAGAACAGAATACCAATGGAGGTTTATAAATTATAATAAATGTCTCATTCTGATACTAGAGTTGGTGGCTATGTGGGGACTGGGGCTATTTGGGAATGCTGTTCTTTCTGATGTGTCAGAGGAAAGGGCTGTGAACSTAAAACTACCCTATATAAAACTATATGTATATTTATATATAAAAATTTATATTTAAATATATTTTATATATAAATATATATAAATTTACATTTAAATATATTTAAATTTAAAATAATAAAAATAAACAGGTAAAATCAATTTTAATAATATTATATTTATCTCATATCAAAAACCATCATGTCAACAAGTAATCAACAGGAAAAAAAATGAGTAAGATTTTTTACTTTTACCAAGTCCTTGAAATTTGGTTTGTATTTTATACTCACAGCACATCATGGCACTGGTCATCTCAGATCCAGAACTTGATGTGACCCAGTGGGAGGACTGAGGGAAAAATTCTCAGTGGCCTGTTTACCATCTCCTTCTCCTTCCCGGAAGTTAGCTCAGCTCCCTCTCATCAGCAACCTCGGGATTGCACTTGGGGTCACCAAAGGGGCCACATCGGGATCTCTACCCTTAWGTCTCCTGGCTCTGGTGACATCCTCAATAATTATGAAACTTCCGAAAAAAGTTTCATAAGTTTCTTCCTAAGAACCAATACTTTCTGAGCACAAAATGCCAGGCATTTTGCTAACTCGCGGGCACCAAGTTGCCTTCCCAGCATTTTGAGAGCCAGAGCCATCTGTCAGGTCAGGGTTTCCCTTATAACCCAGGGAGCACCGACAGAGCCCAGCTGCGTTCCAAGTCWGGGGAGAGGGGTAGGGGTTCCTTAGGCAAAAGGACTGGGTACATCCATGTCCGGAGGTTTATGAWAATTCCTCCAGGTTGCTCAGAACGGGATCCGAAACCCCTCCACGCATCCTTTGTGCTCACCCCTTTCTTCATTGCCTCCTGAGAATCTCGAGGAGCCCTTAGAGAAGACCTGGAGGTGGGGCCACCCGCTGCCCCAGACTCTCTTGGGGCGAGTCACCTCGGTGCCCCCGGTAGGGTGCGATTGGCGATTGGGGCAGAAACTCCCGAGGAGGCACGGGACCCGTCAGGGCAGGGCAGGACCAGCGGCTCTCGGATCAGGGCGGAACCAGTATTTGACCCGGACAGGTAAAACCAGGCGGCGGTGGCAGCGGCGAAGCCAGGCGGCGGGCAGGGCAGGCAGAAGCCATCTGCACATCTGTGCCCGGCCGGACACCATGAGCGGCCGAGTAGGGGACCTGAGCCCCCAACAACAGGAGGCGTTGGCCAAGGTGAGGGGCTTGGCGGGCAGGGAGGCTTGGGGAGGGATCCAGCAATCCTCCGCCGCCTCACGGGTCTGGAGTCCTTCGGGTAGGATCGGGAAGTTGGGAGAGTGCCACAGTCCTGCCTGCCTGTCCAGGGCACAGCTCTCAGGCCCCGGTGCAGCAGTGCCCTGGGCGGGAGACCTCCCTGGGAGACTCTACAGGGGATTCAGCCTTCCAGCCCTGAGGGATCCCCAACACCCTGCCCTGACCTTTGTTCCCCGGCTGATTGGGGACCGGGTGGCGGGAGCCTTGGGCTGAAGGGATTCTCAGATCTTGTGCTCAGATTGCGACATTTGTTTATTTGGTTTCTCATGGCTCTCTCACTCCTCAGGGCCTAAGCTTTCTCTCTGTGGTCAAAAAATAAACATAATAATTAAAAAAGGAAACTGGAGGGGGTTTTGATGATTTTGAGATAGTCTTGGTAGGTGCACTTGGGAGGGACACGATCATGGGAAAAGGGGAGAATGTAGATGTCTTAGGTGACACAACCTTGTCTCACACTTTGCTTGTGAAGGAAAGGGTAGCTTAAAATTCTTGGGGAATGATTTATTTTGAGGACTTCCAGATAGGAATGAGGACCCAAGGTGAAGAAAAGGGGCTTGGGAATTGGGAATCCACTCAGGGTCCCCTAGATGAAAAACAAAACAAAACCAAACAAAAAAAACACCTATGGGCGAAAGAGGGATCCCTAGGTGGGGAGTCCTGAGTTAAGGAGAGAGGTCCCCAGTTAAGGAGGGTCCTGAGATGAAGGAGATGGGATTCCTTGGTGAGTCCTTGCCCTTCCCACTGCTGATGCCCTCAGGGAAGCCCCTAACACAAAGCTCTTCAAAGGGACTTGGACACTTGGCCTTTGGAGATGAATTATAATGGATATGCCTGTGGGTCAGAGCTTTACACAATGTAAAAAGTTTATTCTTATTTTTCCCATTATTTAATGTAATGAATTCTTATTATTTTAAAACACGGGGAAAGGAGGAAATTAGGAAGAATAGGGAAAAGTTTTTCATGGTCCCAGAGGTCTATATGTTATGGGGAGACGCCTCAAAAAGCACTCTAAGTCCGAATTTCAAATCAAAAGAGATAAGTAATTACCTGGCCAGGGACTGTCACCCACCGCAGAGACTCAAGCTCTGTGGGAGGACAGCAGCTTCCTGGTCCATCCAAAGAGAATATAAGCACAAAAACCACAACTCAGTGACTTGCTTAGCATCATGTAAGCTAGCCAATCATAGAAATTAAAACATTAATAAGTGGGACCTATGGGCTCTAGGCAGGACTGGAATTTTCCAGTCAGCAAGTAAGCGATAAACAGAAGCAAAAAAAAAAAAAAAAGCATTAGCTTTGCAGTTCAGTTGACCACAATCCCCGTTCAAGCAGGTGCTGGACAGTCAGTTGCATCCTGAATTTGGGTGGGGGTATGGTGGGCGAGAATCTACTTCAAAGTTATGTAGACCTACAAGGGCATTCAAACCCAGTGGGAGCTCACCATGACCACCGCTGCATCCTGAGTAGGGTACAATTTGTGGGATACAAAGTACAGAAAGACAATTTTTTAAATAAGGAAACAGCTTTGATTTCAGTTTCTCAGAAACAGCTCTTGTAGCAGTGTTTTATAGAAGGCAGCAAAATGGAGTCTTAGGCCTGTTCTTGCTTTATAATTGTCTTATCTCACTCATCAAAATCTTATATCTATAATCTATATTTTTTAACTAATCTATAACTTATAACTTACATTCTTATTGATTGTATTTATCAGTTCACACCACAACATATCATCAGCCTGACCAGGTGTTGACCAATTCTGGTTACACTGCTAGATGCTGCTGTCTCCATATGGCATCATGGTAGAGAAGAGTTTACTCCACATTACTTTAGACACTCCCCAGCACCTGCTTGGTAGCTTTCTCTTTTCCTTGATGCTCATTGAAGAATTATGTGACCCTGGCAAGGGTAGAAGACATGGATTACTCCTGGCCCTTGCCACTTTTCCTACTCTGTTTCTGGGGAGAAGATTCTCCACCACCCACCCCAGCTTCAGTTTCATCTTCAAAGTCGAATAYGACCTTTGCACCTCCTGTATCGGGTCTCATCCTGGGGGTCATTTTTTTGAGGGAACTCAGTAACCTGGAGGATATGAGGAGTGCAGTGTCATGGTTTTTCTGGGGTGTGTGTGGGGGTGGGGAGTTCATCCCCTTCCATATCTGCCAAAAAGCTTTCTCAGGTGCCCAGAGGCTATAGGAGTTTTCATGTGTAACAATGTCTGTTTTAGGTGCCTGTTACTTGTTAACACCAAGAAATGTGTAAACTGATTATTCCCTTTTTTGTTGTGTAAACAACACAGGAATACATTCTTATTTTAAATATACTTCCTAAAGCTAAAGGAGGTTTGGTGGATAACCATCAAGAACAAGTCCTGTAGCTTTGCTTATATCTGTTTCTGACCCCAAAATCAGATTCACAGATTCACCTCTAAACATGGCCCTTGCTTTCAGGTCCCTCTGTTCCTATAGAAGTGAGATCTTTTTTCTATCCCAGACCAAAGCCTCAATCTCAGGCCCAAACTCCCAGTGGTTTTTCTAAACTTTGCCAAGGAGCAAAAGCCACCACCAAATGAAACAAACAGAAAGAAAGAAAAGGCACCTTCCAGTGGACTGTCTGCCCTCCTTTCCTCCAATCCCCCCAAAGCCTTTTTTGCAGTCCCTTCGTAGTGACCTCTAGTTTTGTCCCCAGATGCTTCACTGTCCAGAGCATCCAGCAGGCCACATTTGTTGAGTGAGGCACCTGCCTTATGCTAAACTGCTTTACATGCACACTTTCCTTTGACTGGCACAAATTTATCATTATCCGTATTTACAGATGAGGAAACTGAGCCTCAGAGAGTTTATGTAACTTGCCTCCAAATCCAGGCCTCCAAGAGGCACCATCGGGGTGATATYACTAAATTTTTGTGTGTGTATGAAAACAGGGATGCCATGGCCTTGCCTAAGACTTGTGGAATGAGAGTCTTGTGGGGGCAGGGCTCCCCCAAGTTTAAGAAGGACCCAATGCTTCCTTCCTCCTATGGTGGGCTGAAGGGGGACCATTCCCAGATACCCAAATGGTTCAGGGCAGGTGCTAACTATGCAGGGTCCCCAGGTGGCAGATGAGGATTGCAGATGGGTCACAAGAATATCTCTGACCATCATATCCCCATCTCTTAGTTCCAGGAGAACCTCCAGGACCTGCTACCCACCTTGCCCAAGGCTGATGACTACTTCCTCCTGCGCTGGCTTCGAGGTTTGACTSCAAGAGTTGGGAGAGGCAGAGAGGGAGGGAAAGAATGGGAGGGGGGGTCTCAGGAGAAAGCATGGTAAACCTGGGGAGATATGCTGCAGAGCAGTAAATAACAGGCTTTGGATCCTCCTGCTCCGGGTTAAATTCTGAGCTTCCATGTGCATTAGCACCACACAAAATCCCCACTGAATCTTAGTTTCTGCATCTGCAAAATAGGTATGAGTCAGTGAGTAGGCACAGAGTCGAGGTAAAGTTAGAGTGAACACCCAGAAGGTCCTCAGGAATTAACTGGCCTGGCCTTGAATGAGATACCATTGAGCACCATCTTCAGGACTTGCCTTTGGACCTACATCCAGTTGCCTGTGGACAGAGCTATTTCCTTGAGGAAACTGCATGTCCCTGAGGGCACTGAGTACAGCCAACAATTAAGGAAGTGGATTTAAATAAAGGGAGAGAAGGAGTTTCTTGAAGTAACTATAGCAACAGCCTAACAAACGCATAACAGAAACCACAGCAAGGTTTAGGGGAAGAAAATCATTTTAACTCACTGCATCTCACAGAATGAATTTTGTACTTGAGGTGAGATTAGCCCAGAAATTAGACACACACTGCATGGTTTAAAACACCAGTCTTCAGAACTCTGGTTTGTGTAGAGAAGAGTGAGGGGAAGAGTGGGGATGTGGGGGATGAGAAAAAATATTATTAAAGAAGTTCCAATGTTTGTTTTGGTTTATCCAAAACAAACAAACAAAACTAAACACCAGTCTTCAATAGGCCTGCAACTGAACCCCAGCTATGCAACATTCTAGGCTGTGGCAAGTTATTCATTGTCTCTCATCCCCACTTTCCTCTTATATATAACAGGCATATTTGTCCCTACCTTTACGGTGTCTGTGGGTCAAACATGAGGTCACAGATGTGCACAAGGCCCGAATGAAGGAAGCCTCCAGAGACTTGTTGTTTCCTTTTGTTTTGTTCCATCCTTTTTTGAAGAATTCTTTTTTTATAAACTTTATTTTTTAAAACAGTTATAGATTTTTCAGGAAAATTGCAAAGATAGCATAGAATGGTCTATATACCCTGTACTCTATTATTGTATCTTATCTTTGTATGATACATTTATTACAAGTAATGAATCAATATGAATACATCATCATTATTATAACTAAAAAACTCTATATTATATGGATTTCCTTAGTTTTTCTATTGCCAGATTTYATTTTACATTGACATTACATTTAATCATTTGTCTCCTTAAGATCCTTTTGGCTGTAGTAGTTTCTGTTTGTTTTTGTTTTGTTTTGCTTTAAAAGGGAGCATATCATTGTCATGTGCCTGAGCTAAAGAAGGAGTTGGAACAGAGTATTTCTAGAAACCAATTGACAAGGCACATCTTCATTCATTTTCTTTTATTACCATAAGGAAACATCTGAGACTGGATAACTTTATAAAGAGGATTATTTAGCTCACCATTTTGGAGGTTCACACATATGGTGATGGCCTTCTTGTTAGCAGAGTCTCCAGATGACACAGGGCATCACATGGCAAGAGACAAGGAGCATGCATGATTGTCTCTCTTCTGGTCTTTCTCCTTCTAATCAAGTTGCTAAGATTCAACCATGAGGGCTCCACCCTGATGACCTTAATCTAATCTTAACCACTTTCCAGAGGCCTCATCTCTAAATACCAGAATTAGATTAAGTTTCCACCCTCTTAATACCTCACAGTGGGGATTAAATTTCAACTCATGAACCTTGGGGACAAGCTCAAACGGCATTTGAACCATAGCATATCAGTCTTTTCTCCTCCTGTGAAGTCCAGCTTTTGGGTGTCTGGTGTGTTCTTGATAAGTAAGTGAGATCACAGATCACAGATACCTTAAACTGCCAGATCATTGAAAAAGGAAAGAATCTCAGATCGAGTGTGGCCTTTTACTTCCTGCTGTAGGTGACAGGACTGTGGATATGACCATCCATGTGGGTGTCAGCCATGTTACTCTCTGCCTTACCTACCCTGGATATAGATCAAGAGAAGTTTGAGTGATGGAGCTGAGCTTCACAGAGGCTTCTCCCTCAGGCCTAATAAGGACAAGACTTGGGCTGGGGTTGGGGCTCAGTGGTAGAGTTCTCACCTAGCACTTTCGAGGCCCTGGATCTAGCCTCAGCACCACATTAAAAAAAAAAATATATATATATATATATATATATATATATATATAATGTATAATGTCCAACTACAACTAAAAATAAATGTTAAAAAAAAAATAATGTCAAGCCTTCCCTAAACCTCCTTCTGATGTCCTTCCCCTCTGTTTCTTTATCTGCATTCTTCATCAGTGTCTGTTTCTCCCAGTCAGATGCTAGCTCCATAAGGGCAGTATCTATGCCTGCCCTGGTCCCCTTAGTCTGGCACATAGTAGGTACAACTAAAAACTCTATCCTCATATCCCATCATCAGCACCCAAACCACTGTTTATAGGATAAGAACCCCCAACAGATATAGAATAATACTGTGAATAATTATGTACTAGTAAATTTAAAAATCCAGATAAAATAGATGAATTTCTAGGAAAAAAATATATAGGGCTAAAATCCAGCATGAAGAAATAGAAAATGACAGACTAATAAATTTAAAGAAATTGAGGGGCTATGGATATAGCACAGTGGTAGAACACATGCTCAGCCTGTTAGAGGCCCTGGGTTTGATCCTCAACACTGAAAAAAATAAGAAGAAGAAAAAGAAAAAGAAAGAAAGAAATGGAAAAGGTAGTAAAAACCTCTACTCCTCCAAAACTCAAACTCCAGGCTTTATAGGAAAATTCTTCCAAAATTTTAAAGACTGGTTAATTACTATCTTATATGAATTGTTTTAGGATATATGAAAGAATTAGGCTTTTTCTTTTCTTTTCTTTAAAGAGAGAGAGAGAGAGAGAGAGAATTTTTCAATATTTATTTTTCAGTTTTCGGTGGACACAACATCTTTTATTTTATTTTTATGTGGTGCTGAGGATCGAACCCAGCATCCTGCGCATGCCAGGTGTGTTCTTGAGCCACATCCCCAGCCCCAAGAAAGAGGTTTTTTTCTTGTGAGGCTTGAGTATTATTTCAAATATAGATAAGAACAATTAAAACAAAAAAGAGAAGAGGAAGTCTATACCTGTTTGTTAATATCTTGGGTCTGCAAGAATAGTTCAACATTAAAAAAACTATCAGTGTCATTGAAATCATTAATAGATTTAGAAATGAAAAATCATATGGCTATCTCAATTAACACAGAAGAAACATTTGAAAAAGTTCAAATCCTATTTATAAGACAAGTGTCTTGGGGACTGGAGAGTGATAGAATGCTTGCCTAGAATGCACAGGGCTCTGGGTTCAATCTCTAGCACCCAGAAACAAAAACAAACAATTCTTACAAACTAGTAATAGAAGAGAATTTCCTTAACTTGGTAGTAATGGTAACATAGCACAAATCCCCTAACAAATATTATGAATAAGGATAAATTTTAGATACATTTCCTTTAAGATCAGAAATAAGGAGAGGATGACACCAGTGAACATTATGATTTAAACAGAACTAGAGACTTTTGCTAATGCTATAAGAAAAGAAAAAATAATCAGTAATTTAAAGACTGGAAGGAGGGGCTGGGGATGTGGCTCAAGTGGTTGTGCGCTCGCCTGGCATGCGTGCGGCCCGGGTTCGATCCTCCGCACCACATRCAAAACAAAGATGTTGTGTCCGCCGAAAAACTAAAAAATAAATATTAAAAAAAAATAKTTAAAAAAATAAAGACTGGAAGGAAAGAGAAGTTTTTCAGATGCATTACTTATCTCCCTTGAAAACCACAGGATCAACAGAAAAACTCTAGATCTAAAGAGAAAGCTTAACCATATTTCCAGATACAAAATTCAATAGTATTTTTTTCTGTGGCTGCAACCAATGAAAAATGTATATTATTCCAAGTAACAACAAAGCTTATAAAATAACTAGACATTTAACCTGGAGCACAGAAGATCTATATATGAAAAAAAATCTTAAAATCATTGAAGTTTATATAACTGCTCTGTTCAGTTCAGTAGCCTCTAAGCACATATATTTATTAAAATTTAAATTAAGCCCAATTAAAACTTGAGATCTTCTGTCACACTAGCCAAAGATAGGACATTTCCCATCATTATTGAAAGTTTGATACACCCAACCTGATTTTCTCTTAAAATTGGGAGCCATCTCGCCACAAAGCCATGAAAAGATAATTTCGGCTTTACTATAAATTATTGCAAATTCTGAACCTGCTTGGAATGCCTGCCCGTGCCTTGAACTCACCCTTGCCTGGCTCTCTGACCAGACAGCAGCCCTCTCTGAAACTTTAGTGATGCCTCACAAATCTTGGCCTTCCCTGGCCAGATAACAACCCTTTCTGAGGCTCTAATGACCTTCATAAATTCTGATGTCRGGCCAGCAAAAATGTAAACTACCATTAGTGTGATGCTTGTCAGAGTTCTGTTATCTGTAACCCCCCTTTGTGTAACTTTCTGGGCTATAAATCTGGGCTGCAGGAAAGCTGCTGTGGCTGTCTTGTTCCCCTCGGTTTGGGGTGGGAGAAGCAGCCTGGCCGGTTGAAATAATAAGCTTGCTTTAATTTGATTTTAATTGGAGTCAGTGTTCTTTTCTTGCGTCCTGGTCTAACAAGTTCTGTTGAACATCACTGACACAGAGGTGATTTTTAAATGAATATATAACTGGGAGAAAATATTTTTTACAAATATAAAAAAAACATTTACACTTGATAGCTCCTCTTGATATATTTGCACAGATTTCCATTGACAAACATATTTGACCTCTGAAAATGYGACTAGGATCATTTGTGCAGCAAAKTTAGCCTCAGTCAAAGCTGCTGAGGAGCCAAAAGCAGTGGCAACAGCCTGTAATCTCAGCAATTTGGGAGGCTGAGACAGGAGGATCGAAAGTTCAAGGCCACACTCAGCAACTTAGTGAGCACTTATCTCAATAAATAAATGAATTAATTAAAAGCAGAGAGCTAGGGCACACTCAGTGGTAAAGTGTCTCTGGCTTCAATCTCCAGTACTTAAAAAGAGCTGTGGGCTATCTGTCTGTTTAGACAATGAACAGTACATTATGGGAGATAATCAGAATTGAGCTAGTGACCTCAATGGTTATTGCTGGAGGTGGTTCATGATTAGGGCAGAGGAATTCTGGGTGATATCAAGTCCTTTCCACTTGAAAATCTCTAATCTTGCATCTCAGCAGCTCCATCAATGAACAAATTCAACAGTGAGACAGTGGTCTTAGAGAGCAATGGTCATGGCATTTCTAAAATAGAACATAGTTGGGTGTGGTGGCATGTACCTGTGGCCCTAGACACGTGGGATGCTGAACCCAGGAGTTCAGGCAGGGTCAATCTAGGTAACATAGATTGTCTCCAAAAATTAATTAAATCAAATAGAGCATAATATTTTTTATTAAAATATAACAATTTCTTCAAAATAAGTAATCACAACAATAGCTACTCTTTATTGAGAATTTAGCTGTGGACTGGGAATGTAGCTCAGTGGTAGAGTGCTTGCCTTGTATGTATGAGCACCTGGGTTCAATCCTTAGCACACACAAAAAAAGTGAGAACCTCCTGTGAGCTAGGTACCGTGCCAAGCACTTTATCTACTGTATCTCACACTTTCCTTTGAATTACTGAACAAATTATTATTCCTATTTAACATATTTAAAAAATAAGGCTCAGAGATGGTAAACAGCTTGTTCCAGGTTGCATAGGAAACAAAAAGGCAAAACTAGAATTCAAGCCCAACTCTAATTGCAAATCCCATGCTTCTTAGCACCTCAATACTGTGTGGGGTCTCAGCTCCTTGGAGAATGCCAACTATTGCAGGCTCGATTGACTTCTAGATTTCAAAGTTTTCAAAGGCCTGGAAACAGAAATCAAGGGCCCTCCAGTGTCTTCCAGAAGAGTAAAGATTCTTGCTTAAGAAAAAAAAAAAAAGAAAAACATTTCCAGACCCCAAGTATTCTTGGAGTGTCAGGAAAAGGTTGGGAACACCCCCATCATGTCCTCACGAGCTTTCAGAAAGCAGCTTATTCTCCATCTGGCCTCCAGCCTCTTCCCTCATTCTTCTTTCAGCTCGGAACTTCGACCTGCAGAAGTCAGAGGACATGCTCCGGAAGGTGAGGCCCCATCATCCCTAGGGTCCTGTTTCCTGCAGGCTGTTCCCCCAGTATTCAGTGAGAAAGTGTGCCCATTCTCAAGTGTCTTCGTCCTCAGCTTCCTGTCTACATCAGACCTGGRTCCCTCCCCTTCAAGCCCTCCTCCTGTCCCTATTCCTAGTTCTGTGTGGTAGAGCCTGTGGATGCTCTGACAGGACATTGGTGGCTGTGGGCAAAGAGACCTGGTCTGGTGTCCCTAGGTGCCTGCAGAGGCCTTTGGGGCAAGCTTTCTCATGTCTCTGCAGCACATGGAGTTCCGGAAGCAACAGGACTTGGACAACATCCTTTCATGGCAGCCCTCAGAGGTGAGCCCCATGCAGCATCTCCTAGGCCATCTGACGTCCCTCTGTCCACCAACTCACAACCACCTGAGGGAGCAGGGACATGGTCTAGTGGGCCAGTTTGAGTCAGGGCCTTACCCATGTGTCCAGGTGGTCCAGCGGTATGACTCGGGCGGTCTGTGTGGCTACGACTATGAAGGCTGTCCTGTGTGGTTTGACATCATTGGGACCCTCGACCCCAAGGGTCTTCTCCTGTCAGCCTCCAAGCAGGAGCTGATCCGGAAACGCATCAAGGCCTTTGAGTTGCTTCTGCAGGAGTGTGAGCTGCAGAGTCAAAAGGTGAGCAACTGGGGAGTGGGGGTGGGGCACATGGGGACCTAGTCTGTCCAGTTTGGGGCCCCAGGTCCAGGGAAGGATGACACCCTGTCCCCCTACCCCTCATACTTAGAGGTCTGGTGAAACATGAGCTCTTCCTGCTGTCCCCCTCCGTGAGTATCCAAGGTGTACATCACACTTTACTTGCATCAGTCTAGGGTCACCAAAACCTCTACATGAGATGCTGATCTGGGCTGCAGATAAAGATCTAGCTCTGTTCTTCTGGGAATTCTGAGAACAGTGGATACTCAGCTTTGCTTATGGAAAAGATATCCCACCATTACAAATTTTATAACAACAAACACCAGTGGGTGAGCGTCCCTGATAACAGTGACCCTGAAATAGGTGCATCCCCTGAGGAACCCTTGAAGCTACTCRGGAGTTGCTGAAACACAAATATTGAGCTTTATGGGGCATGAAGCTTCTGATTCCAGAAGGCTTCCACATCCTCCTTTGCAGATCTCTTTTCCTTGCCTTGAGCTGCTCTTTGACCCTCTGTATCCTTTAGGATGAATCTAATGCCACAAGTGGCCTTGTTGGTTTTGTGAGTTTACATAAGTAATGAGGCTAAGAAGTCTCCTCTGGTGGAGCTGATATGTCACTGTGGCCTGATTTGGCAAATGACTGACTCCACATGACAAGAGCAAGTCCTATGTTGTCATCATCACCTGGCACAAACGCTGGATACAAAATAGACCCCAGCAAGGACTTGTGGCAAGGATAATCAAATTATGAAGTGTTGTAGTTAGTGCCTGGTTTGAATAGATGTATGTCCCTCAATCAGGAGGGCTGTGCTGCTTTTATGGTGTCAACACAATGTCTTCCCTTCCATAGGGGCTCCCAATTGAAGTCGATAATTATGATGATGATGATACTAATATAATACCTGATAATATTTATCAGGGACCAGCAAATGCCAGCCTCTGAGTTCTTTGTGCATCATTTTACTGAATTTTCTTTTTTTTTTAAAATTTTTTTTTTAAGAGAATTTTTAATATTTATTTTTTAGTTCTTGGCGGACACAACATCTTTGTTGGTATGTGGTGCTGAGGATCGAACCCGGGCCGCACGCATGCCAGGCGAGCGCGCTACCGCTGAGCCACATCTCCAGCCCTTACTGAATTTTCATAGCAACTCTAGCAGAACCTAGAATTATCTCCATTTCACAAAGAAAGAGAGCTAGTGGTTAAAAATCAGAGTACTTAAAAATCAGAGTACTTAAAAATCAGAGTGGTTGAAAATCCACCCAGAGGCTGTGGCTCAGTGGTAGAGCGCTCGCGTAACACGTGCGAGGTGCTGGTTTTGATCCTCAGCACCACATAAAAATAAAGGTATTGGGGCTGGAGATGTAGCTCAGTTGGTATGGTAGAGTGCTTGCCTCCCATGCAAAAGGCCCTGGGTTCAATCCCCAGCACATAAATTAATTAATTAATTAGTTAATTAATTAGTTAATTAATTAATTAAAGGTATTGTGTCCCACTACAACTAAAAAAAATTCACCCAGGGCCACACAGCCTGCCAAAAGCATAGCTCTGGATTGAATACAGTCATGAAACTACAGATGTTTGTAAAATGCCAAGGGTGTGGGCGGCAGGGAGGTCCGGAGAAGTGCCTGAATCTCTCTGGCCAGGCTCTCCAGGAGCTATGGTCTGACCAGTAGAACTGCTCTGATCTATGCAGCTGGGTAGGAAGATTGAGATGGTGCTGCTGGTGTTTGACATGGAGGGACTGGGCCTGAAACACCTGTGGAAGCCGGCAGTGGAGGTCTACCAGCAGGTAAGGCAGGTGCTGCCAAGAGGCTGGAGTGGCGGTGGCTCCCAGGCTAATAGGGARCTGCAGTCCACACTAGCTTCTGGTCTGTGGGAAAGTGGAGATGCCTTCCAGGGGCGCCACAGACCAGCCAGCCACGCTCACCTGGAGTCCACCCTCCAAGGGGAGACAGGAGCTAGAATAACACAGAGGGGGAACACACACTCCTGGGGAAGTCAGGAGGGGCCAGGGGTGGGCTTCTTGTCTCAGCAGTGTCAGAGGCCACAGAAATGGAGGGGTAAGGCCGTGACCAGCCTCATCTTGACTTCACAGTTTTTTGCCATGGTGGAAGCAAATTATCCTGAGACAATGAAGAATTTAATTGTTGTTCGAGGTGAGCCCATGACTGGGATGGGTTCTGGGGAGGGAGAAGTGGGGAACGGGGTAGGAGGGGAGAGTAGGTCAGCCTTTGAGTTTAGGGCTTCTCAAACCATCCTTTGTGAAGAACTGGTTCTTTTGTTTGTTTGGGTTCTGAGTTCCAGGCCTTTCAGTAGGGCAGAATACTTTTGTGACATGCAGAATCCTACACTGGTATATTGCAGCAATGTCAAATAAGTTCTAAGTTTCTCCGTGTTTGCTGTTATTTTCCTTACTTACTTCAGACTGGATTGGTAACAGTCCATGGACCATGCTGACTAACGAACACTCTTTGAGCAGGAATGATCCCTGTGTTCAATGGTCTGCAGGGAGGGGGTCGCCACAGGTGCCTGCAATCAGATGATCTGGGTTGAATCCAACTAGTTCTGTGACTTTGAGTTAAGTCTGTTTCACACCATTGAGACTCAGTTTTCTCATTCTGTGGGATGAGGAGGCAATGAAAGAAAGCTGGTATGAGACACTCTATGGAGAAGACAGCACAGAGCCCAATTCACAGAAAGTACTCAGTGAGAGGGACCAAGTTGGGATGAGACAGGAAGTCTAAAGCAGATGCCCTATCTACTTGTACTAAAGAGGATGCCAAAGCCACCTGAAAAAAATCACAAGTACACAGAGGCACCACTGGGGTCAATTTTGACACTGGACCCAACACCTTACAACTGGGTTAGGGGATACAGCCATTTATTGAGAGGCAGCTACTGTGCCAAGTGTTACCCATAACATGATTTCACAGCACTAAGACTCAGAGAAGGTGAGTTATTAGCTGAAGGTCACATAGCAGGGAGTGGCAGAATCCAGATCTGTCCAAATCTTGTCTAGCACATGCCCCTGGGCATGGCTTTATATACCAGTGCCTTCTCTGGTCCAGCTTCTTGAGGGAGTTTTATGTGTTTCAGCCCCCAGACTTTTCCCAGTGGCCTTCAACTTGGTTAAATCGTTCATGAGTGAGGAGACACGCAAGAAGATAGTGATTTTGGGAGGTGAGTGACTTGGTCTCCTGGAGAGACCCTCTTTGCATCTGCAGAGGTCAATGCTGAAGGCCCCATTTCTGCCTGGCTCATCTTGACTCAGTCACTGGGAGCCTGGGTGACCCAGTCAGCTTCTGTATACAAAAGCAAGGCCTTGACTCCTAGATCAATGGCCTGGAAACCACATAAGCTCTTGGATACTCTTAGGAGTAGATGCCCAGGGTACAGCCAGGGACATACTATGTCTCCTTCCTGGGCTCTCTTTTGATCTCCTTGAGCCCCTTGGAGGMCCCCTCTTGTTCCCACACAGACAACTGGAAGCAGGAGCTGTCAAAGTTCATCAGCCCCGACCAGCTGCCTGTGGAGTTTGGGGGGACTCTAACTGATCCTGATGGCAACCCCAAGTGCATAACTAAGGTATGGAGTGCCCAGAGGATGGGGACAGAGGGGAGACCACCGTGGCCTAGTGTCTACTCACCCACCTTCACCCACCCTCACCCACAGATCAACTACGGGGGTGAGGTGCCCAAGAGCTACCACCTGTGCAAGCAGGTGAGGATGCAGTATGAGCACACAGTGACCGTGGGCCGTGGCTCCTCCCAGCACGTGGAGAATGAGATCCTGTTCCCAGGCTGTGTGCTCAGGTAGGGACAGCGACCGCTCCACACCTGGGTGCAACTGGAAGAGGCTCCAGGGCCCGGGCAGGAGGTCATCAGTGGGGCTCTGTCTGTTGCAGGTGGCAATTTGCATCAGATGGTGGAGACATTGGCTTTGGGGTTTTCCTGAAGACCAAGATGGGGGAGCGGCAGAGGGCTGGGGAGATGACAGAGGTGCTGCCCAGCCAGCGCTACAATGCCCACCTGGTGCCTGAGGATGGGAGCCTCACCTGCTTCAAGGCCGGTGTCTGTAAGAGCTGCAGGATTCACTGGAGTTATTGTCCTCTTCCTGACAGAGAAAAAAGCTGGTCATCTCTTGCCAGTCCAGCCTTCTGTGTGCCTACTATTTCCAGCTCACAGGGAGAGGGTTGGGGACCTTATAAGCTCTTGGGTCCCACAGGGTCTAGGGGAGTCGGCTTTGGAATCTTAGATCTGAAGAGTGGCCCCTACTTGTGAATACAAGGGCAGAGATTCACTACAGAGAAAGAGCTGGAGTTCTGAGTCTGGGGCTGTGAGCTCAGTCCTGGGAACTCTCCATAGGAGGCTGAGGCAGGAGAGTAAATAGCCACGGGCATACCACTAGTTGCATGGACCACCCTGCTCCAGGAATCCCCAAAAGGTGGCTTCCTCTAGCTGCTTATCCTTTGTTCCCAGATCACCCAGGACAAAGGCAGTTTGGTTAATTTTACCAGAAACAGTACTGCACAGTATATTAGTCAGCATCCCGTTACTACAGTAGAATACCTGAGCTAATGAACTTTTAAGGGAACAGATTTATTTTGTTTCACAGTTTTGGAGGTTCCAGTTCATGATCAATGGACCTTGTTGATTTGAGCCTATGGCAAGGCACTCATCGTGGCAGGAGTGTGAAGTAGAACAAAATCGCTTACAAGTCAGGGAGCAAAAGAAGAAAGGAAGAGTCAGGGTCCCACAACCCCTTTGAAGACATGTCCCAATTACCAAAGATGGGGGAGTGGTCACACCCCCTAAAGGTTGCAATAGCTTCCAGTAGCACTACCCTGGGGATCAAGTCTTTTAACACGTGGGTTTTTAGGGGGCATTCAAAATCTAACTATAGCACCCAGAAACTGCTCACTTTCCACTTCCATAGTGAGTAGAGCAAGGAGGGAGGGAAGTCAAGGTCAATTTCCTGTGAAGAAGGAGAATTTGTGTTAGTAAAACTTTAACCAATACCTTATCTAGTGCAGCCTGAGGAAAGGGAGTATTAGGAAGGTGGTGAATGAGAAGTATGGATGCTTCCATGTCCCAAAGTCCATCCTGGACCTTGGCATTGTAGGAAATGCCTTCCATCTGTGAGCTGGAAAAGCTGCCCGTGTAGCTCAGTTAGTGCTTGCCTCCAGAGGAAGTAGGGCTGCTCTTAGGGCTGAGCCATTGGGACAAGGGAGTCCCAGTTCCTCTCCCTTGCTCTCTATTCACTGGAAAGTCATATCACCTCTCTAAGCCTCAGTTTCCTCATTCATACAATGGATTATGAACTTTCTGTCATTATAACAAAATACCTGAAGCAATTAGCTTATAAAGAGGAAAGATTTACTTTAGCTCATGGTCCTGCAGTTTCCACTGTAAGATCTAGCAACCCCATTACTTTGGATCTCTGATGGGTGGCAAATCATGGTGGGAGCACATTGTGAGTGGGCAATGCAGAAAAAAGGAAAAAAAATGAAGAGAATGGGGTCCTATGATCCCCTTTAAGGGCACCCCCAATGACCTAAGGACATCCACAAAGCTCCACCTCCTAAAGATTCCATCATGTCCTAGTAGCACCACCCTGGGAATCAAGCCTTTAACATGTGGACCTTTGTGRGACACTTATCCATAGCAATGAGAATGACAGCACCTTCCTCATGGGTCATTCTGAGGATTCAGGAAGCTGGAAGGGCTGATGTAATGCCTAGTGGCTAAAAGGGGCGACACAGCATGTAGTGGGTCTCATGATTCCTTTATGTACTACAGGCATCATCCAAGGAGGTAGGAGTGAGCAATGGGCTAGGGGCTGGGCAGTGGCTGACCCTCAGGCCCCACCCAAGGCCCTGGACAGCCCATTCCCAGGGCCACCAGCTGTTCGCATGTGCTGGGTTCACTCTGCCTGATGTATCTTTGCAGATGTCCTGCGCTTTGACAACACCTACAGCCTGCTGCATGCCAAGAATGTCAGCTATACTGTGGAGGTGCTGCTCCCTGACAAGGCATCTGAGGAGAAACTGCAGAGTCTCAATGCAACGAAACCCTCTCATTGAGTACCCTGACTGTCCTGCTCTCTCCAACCCCTTTACACCCTGCTCCTTGCTCCTGCCTTCCCAGGTGTTGATGGTCACAGAGAGCCATCTATCCCACATCATCATCTCAGCCCACTGTGGGCCCATTTGCATAGTGGCCAAGCAGTGGGGAGGAAACCAGATGAGCTTCTCATCCCCTGTTCCTAGAGAGTGAGAATAGCATGACCCTGAGTTCACCAAGAAGGTTCCTCCCACAAGGTCTACCCATCCCAGCATTTACCCATGCTTGGTGTCCTAGCTTGGGGCAGGGGGTATATGTGAGCACCAGATTTGGCAGGGAGCACTGCTAGGTGCAGGCTTAAAGAGCAGGGAAGCCCCATTTTCTGCATGCAGGAGGTMAATAGGAATAGGAAAGGCCGGCTGAGGTAGCTGGGTAGAAGATGGGGCAGGAGTCAGGTCCAGCTGAGCAATAGGGCCTCTTTAAGCTTGTTCTCCCGCCTTTTAGGGAAAGACAGAAATGAAGAAGCAGGACCCTGCAGGGGTACCATCAGTGCTGGGGGAAGCCATGCTGAGCCCTTACAAAGTTGGGTAGATAAAGATTGAGTCTCCATTGACCTCTCTTCCCCTCCACACTTGTCGGGGTCTTGCCACATTCAGCTCTGGTTCTTTGTGGATCAAGTAGGGGCCAAGAACAAAGCACAGCTAGAAGCAGGTGTCATGGTGCTGCGATAAAGAGTGTGAGCTGCCACCTCAGGGTGCTCATGCTGGTCTCAGACTTACTTCTTGGAGAACCATTCAACTCTTCCTCCATCTTTGTAKCTTATCAAGGGGAGAATAGAAAGTCTGCTGCCAATGTCCCCCCACTTTTGTGATCCAGGAGCTGGCTATAATGGCAATGGTTGCTCTAAGACTGACCCTCCTGGTACCCAGTTAGGACAGCCACCTGCTCTGCAGTGTGGACTGTACCCCACAGAGTAGACCTCACCCAGGAATGAGCTGAGGAAGCCATCAACTTGAGCTAGTGTCTTGATGGGTTGACTCTGGGTGGCAGTGAGGCCATCACCTGGAGCCTGGGAGCCCAGGTTATGCTGCCCTGCACCCTGGTCTCTGGCTGGGCCATGCCAGGGGCCACCAATATTTCAAAAGACTGTCCCACCCAGGTGGGCTTAGTCTCTGGCTCAGAATCACTGATCCTGCCCTCTTGGTCTTTTTGCATTGCTATCCCACTTGGCAAGAATACTGAGTACCCAGCTATATCCCCTGGAGTGAGTGGTCAGATGTTGCTATAAAAGGGATCTTTGCTGCAAAGCATTAGCCTTCTGGTTGCCACAGCCCCTCCCAGAGACCAGAAGGTCTCAGCACATGCCACCCGGCCAGGYACTTTGCAAACAAGATGCCAGGCACCAGCCCCTTTTCTTCTCTCAAGATTCTGTGATTTCATTTTCTTCAGTTGATAGGTGCTTTCTGTTACCCAAGATGTATTTTAAGGGACAAAATGATGAGGCTGAGGAAGGCGAGGAGTCTTTAGGAGAGCCCTGTGGGAGTTTCAGCTCCCTATCCCTCCTGGCCCCTGCAACTGGGGCAGCTGTTTTGTTCATGGCTTGGAATCTGAGCAGGAGCTCTGTTGCAATAAAAAAAAACAAACTAAACTAAACTTCTAAATCCCAGTGCCATGAGGAATTCCTGTCCAACATGGTGTTTAAGCAGATTGGCAAGGAAAAAAAAATGGGGTGTGTGGGCAACTGCAGTTGGGAGGACCCTGTGACAGATATCATAAAGTCCATCTGTTGTCATAAWGTGGACTCAGAATTGCTTCAGTTCAGCCTTCAAACCTCCTGCCTAATAACAACATTTCTGGATTTGAACCCTGACCCTTGCCCTTCTAACCATCCAATTTTCCATTACCAGCACAGCCTCATGCAAGTTGCAAATGTTGCTCTGCCCTTKCACAAGGGTTTCCTGAGGTCCTATTTACAAAAACCAGACACAAATACAGGCTGCCTGGGGGGTGGGGTGATAAGTAACAAGGAGACGATGTMAGGGCACTTTTGGCTCCAGATCCCAGAGCAGGCACAGTGAGTGTGCTATGTGGTTAAGCAATAAGTACAGCAGTCACCAGCAGATGTGACAGCAGAGTCTCCTACCTGGCAAGATGGGCAGGGGCACATTGAGAGTTCAGCAAGGGATTTGTCCTCAACAACATCATCCTTAACTCTCAACAGTATCACTTAAAAAAAGAAGAAGAAGAAGACACTCAGAGCAGRGCACTGGCTCACTCCAAATTTGCTTCTTCATTTATTCATTCATTCTTCAACATCTATTGAGTATATGCCCAGCACTAGGCACCACAAGCTCTGGGGACACCAAGGATGTTGAACTGACCCAACTTTGCTAAAAGGAAACTTGCCTATATTGAAGGAAGCAGAAGTGATTCTAATAATAATCAAATATTCATGTGGTCATCATGTGCACTTGTGGGGGGCAGGAGCTGAATTTTCGGGGACCATCCAACAAAGAAACCTGACAGGTGTAAAATGAGCTTTGCCTAAGGAAGCGACCACTGAAGGATGTATGGGGTTTTTGTTTAGGTGCAGGCAAGCCTTTCTAGACTGAGCAATGAGGTGTGGACAGCCACRGGGTTCCTGGGACTGGAGGAAAGGTGGGAGCATTCTTCTGGCTGGGGGTAAAACTGGTAACAATTTCCCAGTGATTTTTGTTTCTTCAGAATGACTACACACATTAGATAATGATTATTATTTTTTTTAATTAGCCAGGCATGGCAGTAACACACCCTATAATCCCAGCTACTTGGGAGGCTGAGACAGGAGGATCACAAATTTGAGGATAGCCTCAGCAACATAGTAAGACCTTGTCTCAAAATTTAAAAAATTAGTCAGGGGCAGTGGTGCATGCCTGTAATCCCAGCAGTTCAGGAGACTGAGGCAGGAGGATTGTGAGTTCAAAGCCAGGCTCAGCAATTTAGTGATCTCCTAAGCAACTCAGTGAGACCTAATCTCCAGATAAAATATTAAAAAGGGCTGGGATGTGGCTTAGTGGTAGAGTACCCCTGGGTTCAATCTCTAGTAAATAAATAATAGATAGATAGATAGATAAACTTAAAACATGTTATAATGCAGGTTACAAAACAGTCTTGGGCTGGGGTTGTGGCTCAGGAGTAGAGCACTCATCTAGCATGTGTGAGGCCCTGGGTTCAATCCTCAGCACCACATAAAAATAAATAAAAATAAAGGTATTATGTCTAACTACAACTAAAAAATAAACATTAAAAAAAAAAACAGTCTTGCTATTTGTCAGGAAAAATGGCAAAATTTTAGCAGGAGGCCACCCATTTAAACTCCTGCTCAAGATGAGGTGTTGGAAATACTGAGGCCTCACTTATCCAGGAAAGGGAGACAAGACTTACTCTTCCCAGCTCAACTCCTCACAATCTTTGGAGGAAAGCAGGTAGGGGATTTTAGGGGTGTCTTATGGCAATTGGAAAGTCTCCTCTCCGGTGTCCTTCAAATCTTCACCCCAGCCCAGCTCACCTTCCAAGGAACCCATCCCAGAGGGGACAGCACTGTGGAACATCTGTCRCCACAAGTGTCCAGGGCAGGTCTTCGGCAGTGCTCCATGGCACTGCACTTCAGTTTGCACAATCCTTTATATGCAACCTGAAAGGAGACCAGGATTATAACTCCATTTTACAGGCCAGAAAACTGAGGCTTAGCAAGGAGGACTRCCTTGGCCAAAGGCTTGGTGTCCAATGGCAGAATTGGAGAAGGGACCCAGATCAGCTKCCAGTCCCCTGCTCTGCTTCTTGAGAGGAGAGGATTGCTGTGGGYATGTGAGCCCTGCTAAGAAGGTTTAGCTTGGGATGGGGACACAAGATAGGACAAAGTGATGTGTGGGGTCTCTGGGGTAGGAGGGAAGGCTCAGAGTTTAGAGAGGCCTCCAAGAAATTTGTGCCTCTCAGTGGGTTGTGACAGTGCAGGCTTAACTCCTTATCACCTACTGTGTGCCATAGCTGAGGCACAAAGCATCATCTCCAGCTTATTGATGAGGAGAGTGAAACTCAGGGCAGGAAGTGAACTGTCCTGTTGCACAATGTAAAGAGGAGGAGGTAAGATGTGAACAGTGGGAGGGGGAAGGGGATAGGCTTGGTGGCTTCAGAGAGAAAACAGCTGGGCCAGCTCGGGAGCTCACATGGCCATGGTGACCCCTGCCTTCAGCCACCAGAGGCAGTGTTGCTCTGAGAGCATGAAGAGGGCTCTCTTGCCTCCAAACAGCTCCTGGAATGGCTGCTTCACAGGCATGCTAAGGCCTGAGAGGCCAAGTGCACCAGGTCTGGGGTGTTGGAGTCCTCCTGGAGTGACAGAAAGTGGCTCTGCCACTGCTGGCTGGACTTCATCTTCTTTCCTGTGCCTTATCAAGCCTCCATCAACTCTGGATTAGATCATTAGAAGGAATCCATGGGCCTCCTGGTGCCCATTCCTATCCCCTTCCATCCTGAAAAATATTTCTGAAATGGAAGTCTGATCACATCTCTCCCTGTGTAAGCCTTTCACTGGCTCTTAGTTCCCCCTGGATCAAATCAGACTTGTTGGTGTCTTACAAGAGCCTCAGTGATCTGGCACCACACYCCTGTTCCAGTTGCACCTAACAACCTGAATTTACCAATTCTTCAAGCTCCTTTCTTCTTCCCTGCCTTTGCGAGGACTCCCTCCCCAACTTCGTTCTGTGTACCCTCAAGACCACTGGAGTCCTCTTCTGGAAGGTCTTCCATGGGCCCCACCTCCACTTAGGCCTAGCAGAATTAGGGTCCCTCCTCCATACTCATGGAGGACCAGTTCTTGTCACATAATGGAGCCATCATCTGCCTTATGTTTGTCTCCTATTTGCCCCTAGAGCTAACCCAAGCTGCACTCCCCAGATGCTTGATAAATCCTGGAAAAAAATAATAAAATTTATTGAGCACCTGYATAGTCCTGCTGCCCTATGTACTAGTCATCCTCCATTTTTACAGGGAAACAAAGTGTGTCTTAGAGACAGCATCATTGCTCTGTGGTGGCACTAGGACTGGAATTTGGAATATCTGACTCCACAGCCATGTGTCTCTTTGTTAGTCAGTTTTCCATCACCATAATGAAATTCCTGAGGCCACTGATTTATAAAGAGGAAAGGGTTATTTGTGTTTCCAGTGTTGGAGGTTCCAGTCCAAAATTAGGTGACCTCATTTTTTTAGGCCTTTGGTGAAGATAGCACACATAAGTTATTTTGCTCTGCATGGCAGAGCAAAATAACTTATGTAACGAGCCAGGAAACAGAGGAGGAAGAGACTGGAGTCTGTAGGGCAAGCTCCAAATGGCTATAGTTAGGTTCCCTCACAGAGGCTTCTGGTGAGCTATGTTTTTAGTGTGTAGACAAGGTCATAAACACTTTGATTCAGCATAGGTACTTAAGGTCATAAACATTAGCTTGTGAGCATGCACTCTTATGTAACCTGTTGGCAATGTGCCTTCTYTATTTGGTCTGCATATTAAAAAGCCTATGGGGACTTTATTAAAAAGATTAATGTATACTAAACATATTAAAAAGACTGGGGGACTGAGGTCTTACCACCTCTGAATGAAGCATGTCTACTATCCCAACTGCACTTCACATCTTCTTTCACCTGCCAGGATCCTGAATCTGTTTCCCAGGGTCTGAGCCTCAGTCCCACACAGTTGCACATCTTCTGCCAGGGAAAACCT